CTCTCAAAGGATTTGGGAAATACTTAGGTTTTCACTTTAGCCCATGGGAGTTCTAACCACAAATTCTCAAAGTAAAGAAAATAATATGAGCACCCACCATCCCCAGCTAAGATTGGCAGTTTTCCCCACAGGGCTCTCTGGAAAAGATTTCTCAGTGACTGAAAAACCTCCAGTGAACCTAAAAAAAACAATGCCTAATGGAGGAGAGTGCTACGTGGTCATCATCCACCTGAAATGATGATAGTTTGTTTTAAAGAGACCAGACATTCAAAAAGTGATCTCTTTAGTGTGTAATGCCTCAGACTTTTGGATTCTTTCTTTTTAATCAATCAGTAGAAATTAATTTTGTAAAAAGAAAGGGGTGGCTGGCCACATTGGTTTCAATTAATATCAGAGTCACAAATGAAGTGAATTTATAATCTAAAATGCAACATCTAACTTCCTGATAAGACTATTCAGATAACACTCCTTAAAATGTATGCAGATTAATCAGCTGTCACTTTCTAATTTGTTGGGCTTTTGAAATGTACATAGTGTAACCATGTATTAAGTGACAACATCTTAGAAAATGTCAAGCAGGTATTGCTCTGACAAAGCTACTTTGACAGAAAATATAATTTAAGACTTCCTTCCGCTCTACTGAAAAGCTTCTGGAAGCAAAGGAAATACTATTGGCTACACTCACTTATAATCACAGTATGATATTATTAAAATACCACCCACTTGTGGTAAATTTCACTTGAATTCCTAATCAGTGTTTTGGAGTCACGGTTTAGCTCTACTCTACAAAATGGCATTATGACAATAGTCAAAAATGATCACAGCTTCTTTTAATCATTTCTTCCTGATGTATATAATTATTTTTACCTCAATCTCTCTGAAAACTGTGAATGTGAGATAAATAAGAAAGCTGTAAAGGCAAATCCCCTCCAAATCTATGAGAGGAAATTATGAAGTGCAAGGAATGTTAGCATTCCATTCCTCCCATGTAATGAGAAAGACTCTCTCTTTATTGCAAAAGATCACAAATTCTAACTGTGGAAGAGTTGGAGATCTGAATGAAAACAGTTGTTCCACAGATTAAATTCCAAGTTGAAATGGTTTATAGATTCATTACTTATTTATTTAACATCTGTAGAATGCTTCAGTTTTGTTTTTGGGTAGATTTAATGTATACATGTTTAATGTTGTGAAGTAAAATTAATACTCTTCCAATAATGATTAAAAGGTCTTAGATAATTCCAGTTAAGAAATACCAAAAGAGAGAAGAAAGCAAACAAGCAAAAGAGTGAAAGAAACAACAAAAATAGAAAAAGAAAGAACAGAAAAAAAGAAAATTCCAACTCAACAGAAAACATGACTCTCATGGCAAAATTCAACTCATGATTGGGACAGGTATATTCCAAATTTCAGTTACTTACTAAAATTTTTAAAATCTGTTATGATCATTAATGTGGGTCTTAAAGACTCACTTTGTAGCTTATGAGTAGGTCTGTCAGTCAGTAATGCTATTTATCAGATTTGTAGAATACCTATTACATTAATAATTGGATTTCTATTATATTCAGATTCTCTTGTATTTAAATGCAACTGCCTTAATCATTTTCCAAACCTAAGACTATAATGCTCTATGTTTTAAAATTCTAAGATTTTACTTGAGTACCTACCTGCCCAGATACTTACACAAATTCATACATTTTTGTATATAAGAACAAATTTGAACTTGCCCACAGGCAACCCCAAATCCTAACTCCAAATCTGCAAGACCACTCTTGAAAACATTGTCTTTTGTGTATAATTGTCCCTTGCATAGGATATATACAATAAATTAATCTGTATTGTAATTTAGAAATAAGGTAATACGCATTTTGCTGATTTCTAATATTTCTTAGACAATCTGGTAATACAGCTATTCCCATATTTTCTCTTGTCAGAAACTTTAATATTTAAATATAGTATTTACCTCATTCTAAGTCTTTGGTGATGAATTCTGTTATTTATTACAAATAATAACTGTATCTTTTGCCTTCCAACAATTTATTTTGGGGCATCATTTTTTAAGAAAATCCCGTAGTATTATTTAGCACATAATACCTTTTATGTTATCCTTCATGTATACATAAAGTGAAAAAAAACACACAAAATAGATATTAACATTTTCCAGATAAATCATTTTATAAAACCTTACATAATATTCTAGAACTTTCACATAGGTTAAAGGTTAACAACTCTAATGAAAATATGATTTCTTAGAAAACTAACATTACTTAGTTTTTTAAAAGGTATTTCTCCTTTATCCATCTTCCCTAGAATACTCCATTAACTTATCCTGCAAGCAAATGTTGCTAATAACCGAATGATAACTTTAATACGACGACTTATTTTTTTGGAGGTGGCCAAATAACACACTTTTGTTGGTTCTCCCTAAGAGTTATAAAATCATATTTGCACATTAAAATTTAATGTGTTTAAAGACTAGCTTGAAAAGAGAGGCATTTTCATCTGGAACTCCATCTATCGACCGCCCGCATATTGTGCATAAAAAAAAAAAGTCTGACATGCTCTGACAGTCACTGTAGTTTCTGTTATTAGCGCAGAGATAAATTTATTTAAGTGTATTAAACTTCAGTTCCTGAGCACATGTGCCCTGAGGCTTGCAGAGACAAAAAAAAAAAATAAGGTACAGCTGCCACATTTCCTTCACGATTCAAAGGGAAGAAATAAGCAAGCAGAAATACTGGGAAGAAAATGTCCCTGACAGCTCTGCTGTTTTTGGAGCTACTGACGAATTTCTTTTCTCAGGGCATATCCAGAGCTGAGGATGTAAATCGCAGATACATTTTATTCAAAATAAACCATTTTCTAATTTTCTATGTACTTAGTGAGAGGTTTTCACATGTTTCCTTCCAAGTATGAAAGGGTCATGCAAAGCAAGATGCGCATAACCGAAGCATGACAGTAATTCACACACTGAACAGAGCACCATTTAGCTATCCGTTGTGTTTCGAATATTTGTTGAAGGTTGAGTGAATAATTCACCAACTTTCTAACTCCAGATATACACAGGGGAAAAGGTTCTGTTAGCTATAAATGTTTAGCCAACACTAGCTCCATCAGTGAGAGGAGGATGGTTTTGAAACCTAATTTTCAGGCCTGGTAGGAGAGCTGGTACTGAAGTTCTAACTCCATTGGGAACCCATGAAGAATAACGCCAAGCAGAACAAATGACTAGACCTGAACTAAACTTGGACACATGTTTACTTGTGAGCATGTGACACTTGGGAGCATGTGACAAGCAGGTATAAAAATATCTTTAAGATAAACTATTTCATCCATCTCAGAAAAAGCTTTAAACTCATAAAACTGAACTACTCTTTGGTGATGATCCACTTCCAATATATCTTCAAGTGTTTCCAGCCAATTACCTCCAGCATCAACCTAACAAATTAGAATTTTGCGGTATGAGCTTTGGAAATTGGTCTTTTAACAAATTCACCAGGTGATTCTGAGACACTAAAGTTGGCAAGCCTGTAGCATAGGACTTCAGAAAAGAACACGAAACATGCCTACAGAATAATTGGTGTAAAGGGGTGAGGCAATTACTTGATACGCCATCTCATCATTCTCACAAATAGAGGTTAAACATTTTAATTCCTGAGTCCAGGACATTTACAAAGAGGAGTGGATTCCAATCATGGGACTGGCTGCTTTTTGTCAGCTTCCTGGGAATATGCCAGTTGTTTCTTTTCTCTAATCCTACTTGAGGGAGGCAGACACATCTCAGAAGTACGTTTAAAATTACACATTGTCTGTGGTATACACCTACTTCATATTGCGAAAACAATGACTAATCCTCGCTCTGTCTGTAAACAACTTAAAATTCTTTAGAATATTTATTTTAAATTCTCCTGGGTATTTATTAATGATTTGTGACAAAAGTGCACTTGCTTAAAATGTCAAATCAAGTTATAATTTTCTTTACTGTTAGATCATTTGGGAGATGGATGTGGGTAATAGGTAAGATGTGAATGTGTGGCAGATAATTCCGAGCCGTAAAGCTCTCAAAGAAGTACATCAATGATTTCAGATCCACCTGAGACATGTGCTCAAAGTGTAGAATAGAACCCTTTCTCTCGGGATTCACAACTAACTGCAAACCTCACTGTTTTTCTTTGGATTATAGTATTCGAAAGATCACAAAGCATAGAAATAGTCCATGGTTACAGTTATTACTGGGAAACTTTAAATACCCTTACAAATTGGCAAAAGGAGAAACAATAAAGCTTAGAAAAACAAAAAGAAAAATACATGTGTGCCAGATAGATATGTCTCCATTTTCATAATGGCTTGGCACCAACAGTTCTAGAATGTTCTTTATGATATGTTTTGCTCTGTCATCATGCAATGTGACAGTTCAATAAAAACTCATTATAATTCTGCACTGCTGCATAACCAAAGACAAGAAAAGAGTAAAAACAATCAGTTATATAATACAATTATGCACA